CAGCAGCAGCAGTCGCAGCCACAGCATCAGCAGTAGCCATCGCAGCAGCAGCAGCAGCTGCCGCAGCACCAGCAGCAGCATCCATGGGCTCGCCTCCCGCTGGGGTGGCCAGGAGCCCCTGGAGGTGGTGGTTGCGGTGGTGGCCCTTGCAGCTCGGCGTCCACCGGCGGCTTCGGTGCTGTGAGCTGCCAGTACCAATTCCAGACCGGGCCCCTCCGTAGCACGGTGTGCCGCCGCCCGCACCCGACCGCCCGCTGCTTCCGCCACCTCGACGACCTCTTCCGTCGCCGCTTCGGTCCAGCCCCGGACCTCCCTGAATGGCCCAGTCTGCTGCGCCACGGTGTGCCTGTGTTTGACTTAGATATGGATCGGATTAGTTCTGCCCTGCATTATCTGTATGCTGACGCTTCGAGTGTTTCCGGATCCTATTACCCTGTGTTCTCTAGCTTAGACGTCGCACCTGTGTGTAGCCCAGACTCCCTTGCTGCGTCAGGCGTAGGACAGCCTGCTTTGTCTAGCCTAGGCTCTACACTTGCTCCTCCGTCGTCAGCCACTACGGCTTTGCTGTCCTTCACTCTTGACTCCGGTGTGTCAGCCTGCTTCTTCCGTGACCACGCCACCCTCACGCCGCTTGCCGCACTTGCCGCTATCGCGCTTGCTGACCCCTCTTCTGGTCCTGTAGTTTCTCGGAGCTTCACTACCCTTCCCTATCCAGCGGTTCCCTCGAGTTCCCTTACAGGCCTGCGCATCCCTTCATTCTCCCGGAACTTAGCTGGTGTCGGCTGTCTTCAGGACTTCGGCGTCACCACTACGTTCCCTGGTCACGAGCGGTACGCGGTCTGTACCAAGACAGCCTCAGGTGCCCCCCTTGCGATGTTCCCCCGGGACCCTGTGTCTGGCCTGCTTACGCGGGATACAGCTCCCCCCCCGGTGGGCGCGTCTCTTCCGGTCCTGCGTCCACCCAGGTTGCTGCGGCCTGCTCGTTTCCGTCGCTCACTCACCCGTCGCTTCTGTGGCACCATCGCCTAGGTCACCCCGCGCTCCCGCGTCTGCGTCACATGTCTCAGCACGGTCTTGTCCTAGGCCTCCCTGCGTCGCTCCCTGCCCTCGCTCCCTTGTCTGCGCCACCGTGCCCTCCCTGCGTTGAGGGCAGGCTGCGCCATGCTCCTCACTCCTCCTCGCTTCGCCCTGCCACTGCACCCCTCCGGACCCTGCACTTGGACGTCTTGGGCCCAGCTTCCGTCCCTGGACCGCGTCGCGAGCGTAACTTTCTCATGCTCGTCGACCACTTCACGCGCTACACCACGGTGTTTCTCCTGGAGCGGAAGGCCGACGTGCCTGGCGTTCTTATCCCGTGGGCCGTAGCTGCACGCCTCCACCGCGGTCTCCCTGTGCTGTGTCTCCACTCCGACCGTGGCGGCGAGTTCGCCTCTGGTCGGCTTGGACAGTTCTGTCGTGCGGAGGGCATCACCCAGTCGTACTCCCTTTCGGACTCCACGTAGTAGAATGGGGTCGCTAAGCGACGCATCGGCTTGGTCATGGAGGTGGCGCGTACCTCCATGATTCATGCCACTGCACACCATTTTCTGTGGCCGTTCGCCGTTCACTACACTACTCACCAGCTTATCCTCTGGCCACGCTCCCAGCGGCCGCAGGTTTCGCCGACCCTTCTTTGGCCCGGGTTCCCTGGTGACGCATCCGCGTTCCACGTCTGGGGCTGCCTCACTCACGTTCGTGCCTCTGGCACGGACAAGCTCACTTCCCGCACTGTCTCCTATGTCTTCCTCGGTTTCCCCCTCGACTCGTCTGACTGGCACTTTTACCATCCGCCGTCTCACCGCGTCTTTCACTCTCTTGACGCTACTCTTGACGAGTTTGTCTCCTTTTACCACCGCTTTCCCCACCGAGGTCTCCCGGTTCCCCCCTCCCCCCCCTGTTTCTAGTTCCCACTCCCCCGGTCGCCCCTGTTCACCTCCCTCCCCGTCTTGCTCCGTCTGGTGTGTCTCACGTCACTCCCCTCCCGTCGGTTGTCCCGGTCGAGGAGTCAGCTGACTCTGGTGGCCCCAGACGCCATCGCTGCAGCAGCAGCCGTCGCCGCCGCCGCAGCAGCCTCCGCCGTCGCTGCAGCCGCAGCCGTTCGTGGACTCTGGGGGTGCTGGCGTTGAGGAGGGTGCTAGTCCTGGGGTTCCTGTCGTGGCTTGCCCCAGCGGGCTCGGGGGTGGCACCGATGCTGGAGAGGGTTCTCGTTCTGGGAGTGCTAGAGTGGAGCGTTGCGTAGGTGGCCATGGTGCAGCTGGTGGTCCAGGTGTCGGCGTCGAGCAGCAGCAGCCACAGTCGCCGCCGGTGTCCGCCCTTCGCCTGCTCGGCCTTCCCTCCCCCGACCGCTCGCCTCTGCCTCCCCTGCCGCCTCCTCCCCTTCCTGTCCACGGTCCTCTATTTCCTCTGCCGGACTCGTCCCCGGCCCATTTCCCCCCTCGTTCCCCTCTTGTTTCTCCTCCTCTGTCTCCTGACCCGACGCCTCCATCTCACGTCTGGTCTTGCCGTCCCTCTCGTGCTCGTCCCGTCTCTCGTGTTCAGCGTTCGCACCCCATGTTGCTTCGTTCCCACGCATCTCGTCCTCCCCTCATGCCTTCGCCTCCTCCGTCATCGTTCGCTATCGCGCCTCCCCCTCTGTCTAACTACCTTCGTGCTGCTCATCCTCTTGTTCCTCGAATCCTTGCCTCCCTTGTTACCGACCCATCTATCCATCTCTCGAGTCTTGACGCTCTTGTCGCTGCTGTCGCAGACTTCGCCTCTACATGCCGCCTTGACTACGCCACCGCTCTAGTCTCTGACCCTACCCATCCTCCGTCCGTCGGGGGTGCTCCAGCCCTTGGCACTGACGTCCTAGAGGACAGGCAGTACGAGCTTGCTTTCCTGTCGTAGGCTGATCCCCATCTCTGTTCCATGCTGCTAGTCTCTAAGGGTGACCCAGGCGCCTTTGACATCCCGACCCCTTGCACCTACGCTGAGGCAACCTCGGGACCCTAGGACTCTCAGTGGATAGCTGCCATGGAGCAGGAGATGGCATCTTGGAGATCCACCGGCACCTACGTCGACGCAGTTCCCCCACCTGGGGTGAACGTAGTCGATGGCCGGTGGCTCTTCAAGATGAAGTGCCCCCCTGGAGAGCTGTCTGTGTTCAAGGCGCGTTACATGGTTGGAGGCTTCAGTCAGCGAGAGGGGGTGAACTTCTTTCAGACCTTCACCCCGACCCCAAAAGTTGACTACTCTTCGGGCGTTGCTACACGTAGCAGCACAGCGTGACTACGAGCTCCACTCCCTCGACTTCTCAACTGCTTTTCTTCAGGGCAGCCTACACGAGCAGGTCTACCCGCGCCGTCCTCAGGCCTTCACCGGTACCTTCCCTCCTGGGACCCAGTGGCTCCTCCGTCGCCCGGTCTACGGCCTGCGACAGGCGCCCCGTGAGTGGCACGACATGCTGCGTGCTACACTAGCTGACCTGCAGTTATTTTCGTCCTCTGCACACCCTTCGCTCTTCGTTCGTACTGGTTATACTTCATTCTACGACCTTGTCTATGTAGACGACCTGGTCTTTGCTACTACAGACAGAGACGCACTGGCCTCCGTAAAGGCTGAGCTGCTGAGGAGACACACCTGCACTGACCTGGAAGAGCTGCACCGCTACCTTGGCCTGCAGATCTCCAGGGACAGAGCAGCGCGCACCATCACTCTTACACAGTCACACTTGGTGCGCCAGGTCCTTCAGAGGTTCGGTCTTCAGTTCTCCTCTGCACAGCCCACACCTCTTTCGGTAGACTACAGGCTCTCAGCTCCAGTTCCTGAGGAGTCAGCAGAGCCCAGTGGTCCTTACGCAGAGCTGGTGGGTTGCCTCATGTACCTGATGACTTGCACTCGTCCAGATCTCGCATACCCTCTCAGCATCCTGGCTCGCTTTGTGGCCACAGGCAGACACCGACCACATCACTGGTCGGCCGCTAAGAGGGTTTTGCGTTGTCTTGCGAGTACAGTGCTAGCAGCGCGGTAGCGAGTCTCAAGGGCTCGTAGATGAGTGGCAAGATCAGCGACAGTGGGGAAGGACGCAAGATCGGGGAATAGCATGGCCAGGATCAGACCGCCGGCAGTGGCGGAGGAGGGAGTCGAATATCGCGCAATGACCGCATCTAAGTACTCCTTCGCATTCGCTACAGCCGTGAAGCGGGGGCACTCAGACAGGGGGGGGCGTGAGTGATAGCAAGCTGCGCTACGACGTCGCGCGACTCCCAGACGGCGCGCACAAGCTCAGCAGCGGCAAGTGCCTCACGCTCAGCAGTGGTGGGGGCGTTAGAGAGGGCAGCAAGCGCGTCGGGGCGGAGGAGCTTACCGTCGACATGGATGGCCAAAGAATAGCCGTCCTGACGCTGACCCATCAGCTGATACCATCTCAGAGTAGCAGAATTACTAGAAAAGACTGTACAGGGTACTATGTGCAAGGTGTTGTACAGCCTATAAACAGGGGAAGGGGTGGGGGGGTGGGGGGGGGCACCTAGCTAGCCTATAAACATATACAAATATATGTTGACACAAAGATGGTCTCATGTGTGAAGTGGGGGGGTAGAGGGGAAAAGGGGGGGTGGGGTGGGGGGGGCTGGGGCGTGGAGGGGAAAAAGGGGAAGGGGAGGCTAGGGGTTAGAGGGGAAAAATGGGGAGGAGGTGGAGGGGAAAAGGGTGGAGGGGAGGCTGGGGGATAGAGGAGAGGAGGGGAGGGAGTGGGGGAGGGGGGGCGGCTGGGGGGTGGAGGGGAAAAAGTGAGGGGGGGGGGGCTGAGGGGGTGGAGGGGGAAGGGGGGGTGCAAGGGGAAGGCTGGGGGGAAGGCTGCGGGGTGGGAATGTGACCAGGTTGCCCACACTACTATTTGGTTCGCTTGCGTTTGTTCAGATGCAGACTGTACCTGCATGATTTGACACATGCACTTGCCAGTGCTAAGCAAGAGGGTTTTTCCTTAATAGTCACCTTCATTATACGGTAGTGCCACCAAAGGCGAAACCTTCATTATAATGCCACCATGGGCGAAACCTTCATTCTATTGCCACCACAGGCGAAACCTTAATTATAGTGCCACCATAGGCTGGGCAGCGATGGACGTTCTCACCCAGTGCACCCCATCTACCCAAGCCAAGCTCCCAAACGAGAAAATCTTGGTGCCCTTTTTCGGGGTCAGCGTCACAGAAAAGGTCATGCTCTGCCAGGGCAAAATTGTAAACTTCTTCGGGGAAACTTCCACAGCTACGTCCGGCATCGAACCTAACCGGAGCTTGTAGGTTCGGGCATGCCAGGCCACACTGGTAACCCGTCTCGTTACAGTCACCACTGTAGACAGCTGCGACACGCAAATATTTGGCTGGTTTAGATTCCACGGCTGGATCGGAACAAGCGAAGCGGAATCCCCAAACGCCTGTCGAGCCTTCTCCATATTCAGCCCGGCCAGAAAATTTGTGTACCCAGCAAATCCGACGTCGTAAATCAGCCCCGGGTTGAGAATTTTCGGGGCATTCAGGTGCCCCGACCCATAATTCCAAGGGGACGCTTTCACTCCCAAGGAATCCTGAATGCACCCGCCCTGCCGATTCATTACCGTAGCCGTAGTCATTATTGCCGATTTAACCGCGGACGGGCTCCAATTGGGGTATTTTTCAATTATAAGCGCCGCAATTCCGGCCAATTGAGGTGTAGACATCGACGTGCCGCTTTTACTAGAGTACCAAGCCTGTTTGATGGTGCCGCCGGGAGCAGCCGCAACGCGGGAGATGCCGGGTGCGGTGATGTCGGGCTTTAAGATGTCGTTGGTGAGCGCGGGGGAGTCGGAGGGGGGCTTGCTGGGCTTTAAGGGGGGCCCGGCGGAGGAGAAGGGCGCCATCATGGGGTTGGAGAGCTGCTTTGGCTGGGAGGGGTGGGGTCAGGGGCAAGGGGCATGGGGCATTGGGGGTAGGGGCATGGGGCATGGGGGTAGGGGCATGGGGCATGGGGGTAGGGGCATGAGTCATGGGAGTAGGGGCATGGGGCATGGGAGTAGGGGCATGGGGCATGGGAGTAGGGGCATGGGGCATGGGAGTAGGGGCATGGGGCATGGGAGTAGGGGCATGGGGCATGGGAGTAGGGGCATGGGGCATGGGAGTAGGGGCATGGGGCATGGGAGTAGGGGCATGGGAATGAAGGGTTAGGGTTGAAGGGAGGTCGGAGGAGGAGAAGAGGGCCATCATGGGGTTTGAGAGCTGCTTTGGCTGGGAGGGATGGGGGTAAGGCCATGGGAACAGATGGTTGGGGCTTAAGGGATGCACAGAAGAGAAGCCTGGTTTTGAGAGGTGCCGCAAAACCAGGCATGGGGGTAGGGACATGGAGATGTAAGGTCGGGTCAAGTGGGGCACAGCAGAAGAGAAGTGAGCCATCATGGGGTTGGAGAGCTGCTTTGGCTGGGAGGGGAGGGGCCTTGGGCATGGGGCATGGGGGTAGAAGCATGGAGCATGATGGGTCGAGTAGTTAAAAGACGGGAGTAACTCAAAACAGCAAGAGACAGAGGAGGAGGGGGAGAGAGAGACAAGGTGGAGGTAGAAGAGAGGAGGAGTGGAGTGGTGAGGAATCGAGGGTAAAGCTCAACATAGCTGGACACTTGAAGCAACACGTGAGGATCCGCTGTCCATCACCTGAAGATGCACCTGGCTATCTGCTGAAGTCTCACCTGGCCTATCACCTGATGATTCACCTGCCCCCTCAGCGCCTCTCACGTGGGCGTCAGATGCAGCAGCAGGCAGGTAGGTACCATTGACTTAGGTTGAATTTGCTGCCTGTGCAGACCGAGCAAAGTAGACCCAGTCTCTATCTGTTGACCCTGAGAGCTTCTCACCTGAGCGGCAGCTGCAGCAGCAGGCAGCGAGGTGGCGTTGACTTGGGTTGACTGTGCTGACCGGGAAAAGAAGACCCAGTCGTCATCTGTTGAGCTGAAGGGGGGAGAGAGCGAGAGAGTGAGGCAGTGAGTGAGAAAGCGAGTGGGTGAGTGGCTGGCTGTGTTGACCCTTGAGACGCCTCAGCAGCAGGCAGAGAGGTCTCGTTGACTTGGGCTGACTTGACTGACTGGGTAGACCGGGCAGCGAAGACCCACTCATCATCTGTAGAGCTGAAGGAGTGCGAGGGGGCGAGAGAGGGGGTGAGGGAGTGAGAGAGAGTGAGTGAGAGAGTGAGTGAGCGAGAGAGTGAGTGGATGAGTGAGTGAGTAGGTGCGTGAGTGAGTGAGTGGGTGAGTGAGTGAGTGGATGAGTGGGTGAGTGGGTGAGTGAGTGAGTGAGTGAGTGTGTGAGTGAGCGAATGAGCGAGTGGGTGAGTGGGTGAGTGAGTGAGTGAGTGAGTGGATGAGTGATTGCCAGGATAGAACTGGGACCGGCGGAGAGGACCCAGCCGTCATCTGTTGAGCCGACAAAGGGCGAGAAAGCACGCGAGTGAGTGAGTGTGACAGGGTGTGTGTGGAGCTGACTAGGTGTGTGAGAAGTTGACACGGTGTGTGCGAGAGAGACCAGATTTGAGACCATGGGCCTGCCAACGTGGCAGCATGGTTATCACTGTACCTACACTACCTACTAGGAAGCACCTGGTAACCCACCTGGCAGCGTCAGTGAGGTAAAAGGGAGCATAAAGAGTGTTCACTGTAGCTACAGCGTACCCACCTGGCAGCACCTGGTAACCCACCTGGCGGCAACAGTGAGGTAGAAGGGAGCGGCGTTGCTGAGAGTGCGGAAGGTGTTGCGCTTCTCAGCGTTGGGCGGTGGTCCATCATTGCCCGCTGCCGTCGCCACGAACACTCCTGCCTGCAGCAAGTGGAAAGTACCATCAGACGTGCCGTGCCGATCAGACTTTTGAGTTTTGAGTCGACTCAAAAGTACCATCACACGTGCCGTGCCGATCAGACTTTTGAGTTTTTGAGTCGACTCAAAAGTACCATCACACGTGCCGTGCCGATCAGTGCAAGCTGCAAACTGCGTGATAGGAGTCTAGTTTTGAGGCGCCTCAAAACTGCCGTCACCAGGCAGGAGCACTCCTGCCTGGAGTAAGTAAGTAAGTAAGAAGTAGCATCAGATGAGCCGAGAACTGGAAGCTGCAAACTATTACCTGTCCCCCTCTCTCCTGCACCCCTCTTACCTGCACCCCTCTTACCTGCACCCCTCTCACCCGCTCACCTGCAGCGCTCTCAGCAGGTGCGGGTCCCCAAGGTGGGTGTCTTCGCCCAATCCGATGCATGGAGAGCACATCCAAGCCCTCATCACTGTTCTAGATGTTTCATATATGTTTTTATTTAAATAAATATATGTATGCATGCATATATCTCATTATCTCCTTTAAGTCTCACCTGCAGTGCTCTCAGCAGGTGCAGGTCCCCAAAGTAGGCATCCTGGCCCGATCTGATGCTCATATAGATGAACTCAATGAATTCACCTACCAACGTGCTTGTGGATGCTCATATAGATGAAATGCACACCATCATCTCCCCCTCTCACCTGCATTGCTCTCAGCAGGTGCAGATCCCCAAAGTAGGTGTCCTCGCCCGATCCGATGCTCATGGAGAGCACATCCACACCGTCCGCCACGGCCTGATCAACGGCTGCAAAGATGTCGCAGTCGTGGCCGTACCCCTCCGATGCGTTGTACCACAGTGCCTTGTACACCGCCACCCTGCCACGTGGCGCCATGCCACTGGCCGACCCGATGGGCGTGCCGTCCTGCTCTGTCAGTGTCACATCACTGTTGCCTGCTGCCGCTCTGGCAGTGGGGAAGAGGGTACGTGGGAAACGAGTGGGCATGCCATCACGGCGCCACCCTGCCACGTGGATAACGTCACTGGCCGAGCCGACCCTACAGGCGTGGCGTCGTCGCCTCTGTCGAAACGACCCCTCTGTTACCTGCTGTGGCAGTGATTGGAAGGGAAAGGGGAGGGTGGGGGAGGGGGGGTATATCAGGGTAAAGGGGGGCAGGGACAGAGTGAGGGAGACGGCGCATGGCGGTTGCCAATCGAACAACCCATGGCGTTGCCCAGCTTTCTCACAGCTTTCTCACTCCATTGCCCTACCCAGCACGCCAGGTGCCATGGCCGCCAAGGTCACAAGCTGACCGGAACTCCCTAGGAGCAGGAAGGTGATTGGCTTACCTGTCCTGCCCCCCTACCCCGTGCGTGGCCCGTCACATTGCAGCATATTCCGTTTTCAAGCATGAAAGGGTAGCAGGATGGCCCATCACTCACCACGCACACCAGGTCCTGTGGCCCCCAAGGTCCCGAGCAAACCGGTACTCCCATGGAGCCAGGAAGCCATGCTCCCCTTTACCCCGCGCACCAGGTACCGCGCACACATTTCAACAGCATCCCCTTACCCCGCGCACCAGGTACCGCGCACACATTTCAACAGCATCCCCTCACCCCGCGCACCACGTGCCGTGGCCCCCAAGGTCCCGAGCAGATCGGTGCTCTCCAGGCGCCAGGGGCCCATACTCCGCCTCATAGCCCTTGAGGAAGTGGCGCGCGCCGATCACCTGGAACGGCTGAGCATACCCTGGTTACGAGACAACCAATAAAACGCACCCTGCACACCACGTGCCATGCCCCCCTGCGTCCCGAGCAGATCGGTACTCTCCAGGCGCCAGGGGCCCGTACTCCGCCTCATAGCCCTTGAGGAAGTAGCGCGCGCCGATCACCTTGCGGTTGCACTTTCTCAGCCCGGTGCACGCCCCCTTCCACCGCCTGGGCACCGGGCCATAGCCCTGTGATTTGGCGGGACAAGAAAGTGTGACGGGCAGGGAGAGCGAGCGGATAGGTTGTTGGGTCCATATTCCGCCTCATAGCCCAAGTAGGACGCTCCAATGACCTAGCAGTCGCACTTCCTCAGCCCTGTGCACGCCCCCTTCCCCCGCTTGGGCACCGGGCCATAGCCCTGTGGTGAAGGGAAGAAAGAGAACATAGGGCAACCACGCGACGCATCACCCCCTTGCGGTCGCACTTCCTCAGCCCGGTGCACGCCCCCTTCCACCACTTGAGCGCCGAGCCATAGCCCTGTGGTGGGTGGGAGGGGAGGAGGCTGCATACCATGCGCTATCAACCGTCCTCATGTATGCAATGCGCTATGCACACAGCATGCATACCACTATCGTCAAAAGCCCAGTGGTAAGGCACCTGGGGCAAATGGAAAAACACCTGAGGTAAGGCACCTGAGGCGAATGGAAAAACACCTGAGGTGAGGCACCTTGAAAAAGCACACTTTTCTTCCAAGCCCCCACATTCTCCCTCACTCACTCGCTCGCCCCCTCGCCCACTCACTCAATCACTTAACCCCTTCTTCCTTCCCTCTCCCCCCCTCCCTCCTTCGCTTGCATGATTACTCATCCGCATACGTCCACGTTTCCCACCTTATCCGAGAAAGACGGGTGTTCCGGCCAAATTCCAGAGTCAATCACCCCAATAATCACATCCTCCCCTGCTCGCCCCTTCCCCCCTACTCCGCTCCACGCCTTCCCCATCTTCATATACTTGGGCGTATACGTCGTGAAAGCACGCACCCTCCCCTTCGCCCGCACCACCTGCCCCACCCCTGGCTGTGACTCTAAATTCTTCGCCTGCTGAGCTGTCAGTGACGCACAGGCGGAATTCGCTAAGAAGCCATAGCTGTAGACTAGACTAGATTCTTCCGCTGCTCCTACGGATGCTAGAACAGACTTGTGTGTGCTGTGCAGGTGCTCCTGATAGGCTTTCACACGAGGGGAGTCGGCTAAGGGCCGGAGGTTCTTCCTCTCCCCGCCTCCCGCGCCGCCCCCACCCTGTTGACTGCTGCTGCTGCTGCTGCTGCTGCTGCTGGTACCTGCTGCTCCCGGGTAAACTGCACTATCCAGTCTGCTTATATCGAGTCTGCTAGCAGCAGCAGCGGATTCAACAATTCCAACAGCTGTGGATTTGAGCCCTGAGATTCCGCCAGAGTACGCCACTATTGGCGGTGCTGACGTCATGTGCACTAGGTAGAGCGCTCGCTGATCCGGTGAAGAGGCTTGCCCTGCACGGCAAAGAGGAGGTGGGAGGGCATAGGGAGGGGCCACGGGGGAGGGAGACGTGGGGAGGGAACAAGGGGGGAGACGTAGGGGAGGGAACATGTAGGAGGGGCCATGGGTTGGGGGAGGGGACATGGGGGGGGGGGAAGATGGGGGAGGGGACATGGGGGAGGGGACATGGGGGAGGGGACATGGGGGAGGGGACATGGGGGAGGGGACATGGGGGAAGTTACATTGGGGGGGTGTCTTGAGGAGATCCAACATCCAGATGTGGACCAATACTGGCGGTGCTGACGTCATGGTGTAGGGTCAGGAGAATGGAAAGGATTTCATGTCAACACAATGTGGGTAAGGGAGAGATCTTGCTGACGGTGACAGTTAGACGGAAACTAGAGGAGGGGGGATGGGGAAAAGAAGGACGAGTGGAGGGGGAACGAGAGGAGGGGAGGGGGAGATGAGGGAGGTGTGTCTGAGGGAGGCGGACTCGCGTGCAGAGGCGTACCTGAGCAAGAGCGTGTAACGAGGATGAGCAAGGACATCAAGTGATGCATCCTGGAGTGCGTCTTGAAATGCATCCTGGAGTGCGTCTTGAAATGCATCCTGGAGTGCATCCTGGAGTGCATCCTGGAGTGCATCCTGAGTTGCATCCTGGAGTGCATCCTGGGTTGCATCCTGGAGTGCATGGTCTGTCGCCACTGCTACTTCGTCGGTGGCGTGTGCCGTCAAGGGATCGCTACTCATGGAATGCCTCTCTGTGGCGACAGCTTTGGCGAAGGCTTTGGCGAAGGCTTTGGCGATAGCTTTGCCTTGAATAAATTAACTATCAGGAGGAGCTACTTTCGTTGCATGAGCGCTCTGAGTATCTATTTACACGCGCTATCCAAACGCAGTGCATTGATTAGGCGGCAATTCGATTCGTTTTCACTCTCGAAACACCAGAATCATCTGTCCTGTCACCCGTTGGATCTACCGTCGCAAAAGTCCGACTTACGATTCGTAAGTCGGATCAGACTATTTCAGTCGGATCAACTCATTACAAATCGCCTCGAACGCCTTCCCAGTCGTCTTTTTTCAGTACTACGAAGTAAGTGACGACGCAATCGCTTGGAAGCACGAGGACTGGTTCAGCAAACGGAATCGCTTTCTCCTGCTACAGTATCGCGAGTACTGTACTGTGCAGAGAATGCCTCGAGTCTTGACTGCGTCACAGTGAATTGACCTCCCCTCATACTGAGATGGACTGCATCGCAGGGAGTGACCGCGAGTTCACTGCGTCGCATCGCTGTGAGTTGAGCTCAAACCAACAGCTGCTGCTGGCTGCTGGACAAGCCAGCAACGCCTCCCCCTGATTCAAGAAACGCTCGCCGCCACGATGACGAAACGACCAGTACAAATAACACCGCAAGCTGCGCCTGCGCCACCCTCCCACGGTCCCACCCCAACCCAACCCAACCACCCACGGCGCCGCGGCATTCCCGATGAGTGTCGGCAGCGGGGTCATTCCCCAGGGTTGTGTTGAGTTGTCCCTGCCCGACTTCTAAGGACAACAAAGCTGGTCACTCGACTCGAGGGGGAGTCAAGCGAGGGAACCCAGCTCGCCTCGGTTCGGCATTATCGAGGACGGAAAAATTGTAAATCCCAAGGCGCGGCTGTAGCGAATTCCTAAACGAATTAGCATTTCGCAAGTCACGTTGTGCAACAGACGATTCATGTTACAATTGGCATTGCATAACAAGGTGACGATGCAAGGACCCACAAATGGGAGCATTTGCAACGCATGCATAAAAGTCCAGTACCTCTACAAAAGCTAGATAAAAAGCAATAAATACAAGGTTGTCCTGTACAGGGCACGCAAGCACCCTGGTAAAGAAAAGAGTGACGAGGACCAGGTTTCAGGAGCACACAAACTCAGGCGTTCCTGCAAGAAAACAAAGCAGGGCATTCCCACCCACGCCTCCAACAGCCCACAACCCATGCCCACTCAACCCTTCCCAACCAAACCCAGCTGAAACCCTCTCCTTCTTTCGTATCTGACACAGCGGTCCCCTCCTCCCCACGCCCTTGGCCAAGTCCTCCAGGTTCCCCAGCCCATGATCTAGACCCGCTGGGCCGGACTCAAACCTCACAAGGCACCCCTCACCACCCCCCCACTCAGCCATCCCATCTTCCTCATTCCTTCTTCCCAGTAGCAGTGGTACCCACACCCTTAGCGAAGTCCTCAAGATTCTCCAGCAGATGCACGATCTCAGGCATGCTGGGCCGGTCTGAGGCCACGCGTGCAGTGCACAGCAGCCCCAGCTTCACAGCTCCCAAGATCTGGTCAATCTCGCCAGGCTCCAGCTCCATCCGAGGGTCTACAATCGCCGCGGCGCCGTTCGCCTCCGCCCACCTGGCGAGCCCTCGTTCCGCCACGTCCTCATCAGTCGGCTGCTTCCCGGTGATCAACTGCAGCAGCATGACGCCATAAGCGAACACGTCACTCTTGAAAGACAGCCTGCCCTGGCGGGTGTACTCAGGCGCAAGGTACCCAATAGTACCAAACACCTTGGTCGACATGTGCGACTGCTTCACATCGATCTCTCTCGCAAGCCCGAAATCGGCCACGTGAGCCACCATCTGATCGTCGAGCAGCACATTCCCAGGCTTCATATCGCGATGAATGATCCTTGGGGTGCAGTCATGGTGCAGGTACTTCATCCCACGGGCCGTGTCCAGCGCCACGTTCCGCCTCACCGACCACTTGCAGAAGGGCGAGTCCTTCGGAAGCTCCTTCATGAAGATCGTATCCACCGAGCCGCCCGAGAGGAAGTCGTAGATCAGCAGGCGCTCCGTGGACTGCCCCGGGGCGATGTAGGCCGCGACGAGCACGACGAGGTTGCGGTGGCGGATGTTCCCCAGCGTCTCCATCTCCGCCTGAAACTCGCGGTTGCCCTGCGTGCTCTGCGCCGCCAGCCGCTTGATGGCCACGGACCGCCCATCCTGGAGGGAAGCTCTGGTGGTGGGGAGAGGGGGGAAGAGGGGGGGACGGGGGGAGAGGGGCAAGGGGATAGGAGCAGGAGGGGGGCGTGTGGAGAGAGGGAGATGGTGTATGAGTCAACTGGGCGACGAGCACGACGAGGTTGCGGTGGCGGATGTTCCCCCCAGCGTGTCCATCTCCGCCTGGAACTCGCGGTTGCCCTGCGTGCTCTGCACCGCCAGCCGCTTGATGGCCACTGAACGACCGTCCTGGAGGGAAGCCCTGACAGCAGATCGAGGGGAGGGCATGTGGGAATGGGGAGGTGAGGAAAAATATGCAAGGTGAAGAGCACTCCTCTGCCTCATTAGAGCAAACTTCCTCTAGAGCATATCCTCACTGAAGAACAGCACTCCCTAGGCCTCTGCTCCCCAATCCCCCCTGCCCCAGCGACCCCTCCCTCTACTCGCTCTCCCATCCCCATTAAAAGAACCACCAGCCGCAGCGCACCTGTACACGGTGCCGAAGCCGCCGCGGCCGAGCTTGTACTTGTCGCTGAAGAACTCCGTGGCCTCCAGGATGTGCCCCACCGTGAGCTTGAAGTCGAGCTTCTCAAACACCAGCATCGTGCCGCCCGACCACGGGTCGTTGCGCCTCGAAAACCACCACGCCGTCACTGCGATCGCCACCAGCCCCACCACCGCACCCACCACAATCCCCGCGATTGCCCCGGCTGACAGGTTGTTCGGGCTCGGGCAGTCCGGGTAGCCGTTCATCCCGCAGAGCGCCTGGTTACCGCTGATCGTCGCCGGGTTCGCCGACGCGAAGTAACCCGAGCTGCCGCCCGGGATCGCGCCCGACAGCTGGTTCTGCGACACGTCGAGGTAGAAGGACGATGACACGTTCGCGAAGCCGTACGGAATCGGCCCGGTGAAGTCATTGTCAGACAGGTCCAGGGAGGAGAGGAACGCCAGGTGGCGGGAGGACGGCTGCGGTGCGATCTCTGGCGGAATGGTTCCCGAAAGTTGGTTACCCTCCAGCGCGATGAACGTGGCCGCGGTGAGGTTACCGATCTCGGCTGGTAACTGTCCCTGCAGCTGGTTACCAGACAGGTCGAGCGCTCGCAGGTTCACAAGGTCGCCAACTGTGGACGGAACGGGGCCTTGGAAGCGGGAGTTGGAGAGATCGAGGGAGGATATGTAGACGAAATTGTTCAGCGCTTCGGGGAGAGCGCCGGACAGTGACGTGCTGGAGAGATTCACTTGAATCACGCTGTAACCCTCGCCCATGTTCGTGAACCCTTCGTTAAGGTCGCCGGTGATGTCCAGGCCCGAGAGGTCCAGCTCTTCCAGCGCCGTGCAGTTTCCGAGCAGGTTCGGCAGCTTGCCAGTGAACTGGTTGAGTCCGACGCGCAGCGAGTGGAGGATGACGTCACCGCTGCCGAGACAGCTGGTAGGCACGGGCACGTCTCCCGTGAAGGAATTATTCGTCAGGTCCAGAACAGCGAGAGTCTGGCTCTGCGCGATTCCGGCGGGAACGGGGCCGGAGAACTGGTTGTGGCTCAGGTCGACCTGGCTCATGTTGCAAGCCTCCGCGAATCGCTCCGGGAGCACGCCCGACATGCGATTCGTCGACACGTTGAGCGCCGACGGAACCATGTTGGCGAGTGTCCCGGTGCACTGCAGCAGCGGCAGCGAGCCCGTGAGCTGGTTCTCGTTCGCGTCGAACTGCGTCAGCGTCGGAATCTGGAAGATCTGCGGTGGGATTTCGCCGGTGAGCCGGTTCTTGGAGAGAATGATGACCTGCATGTAGGAGGTAGCGGGAACGGCTCCTAGGAATTTCCCGACGTCGCCGGTTAAATCGTCACCCTCGAGGTAAAGCATCGAGAGCGCCGTGCAGCCGGAAAGGTCCCACTGGTTCAAATCGCCGCCGGTGAAAATGTTCGAAAAATCAATCGAGGTGGCCGTTGTGCACATCGCCTGCGCGATGCTCGCGGGCAGCTGCCCGAGGTTGCCCGCCGTGTTAAGCGAGAGAAAGAACCCCTTGAAATCCTTCCACTCGGGCGGAATGATGCCCGAGAAATTGTTGGAACCGAGGTCGATGTACCCCGCGAGGTCCTTCAGCCACACGGGCAGCGGCCCGGAGAGCTGATTGGATTGCAGCTCCAGAAATCCGAGCTGTTTGAGGTTGGCGAGAGAATCCGGAATGCCGCCCGTGAGCGCATTCCCGCGAAGGCTGACCGTCGACAGGCTCGACGCCTGCCCAAGCGACGCCGGGATTGGCCCGCTCAGCCCGTTCAGACCCAAGCTGAGCGAACCGAGTTTCTTCAGGTTACCGAAGCCCTTGGGAATGCTGCCCGTGAAATTATTCTGGGTAAGATCCAGCGTCACGAGGTCGGTAAGTGCGGAGATCGTCTCGGGAATGGATCCAACCAGCCGGTTGTTAAAGAGCAACAGGGTCTGCAGCTTGGTCAGCCGGCTGATTTCGTTAGGAAGCACCCCGATAAGAGACGTTAGGCGGTTCTGTGTTCCGGTAATGTCGAGAACCATAAGCGAAGAGAGGTTGCCGATTTCCGGAGGAATACTGTTCAGGGCGACGCTGGGAATTCCCGCCAAGCCGGATTCCGCAAGGTTGAGCTCGATGACCGAGCCAAACTTGTTACACTTGACTCCCCACCACTTTCCGCAGATGAAGTTGTTTCTGCGCAGGGCTGGAATAGCGGGAACGATCCACGTCTTCAGCTTGTAGTACGCGTCGACGTTGCTGTTCTTGAGCGCAAGGAGGGCGTTCACTTCGGTCCAGTTTGTCGGATTCGGGGAAGGCGCTTTCGGGGGCGGCTTCGTGACAGCAGCCCTGGTTCCTGCAAGTAAAAAGGCACGAGCAAGAGAAACGAACACGAGTTAGTTCGTGGAAAAACGAGAACCGACGGGAGATGGTAGGCCCTAAGCGAGCAGACATTTATGTTGACGACATCAGAAAAGGCGGGGGGGGGGGGGGGAGGAGGAGGAGGAGAGCCAAAAGACCGACGGAGAACAAGAGAAGCGAAGGGGAGAGGGGAGGGGGGGAGAGAGGGGGGGTTCAAACGTGAGGCTCAAGAGGAACGGAGGGAGGAAGAAAGGGGCGGCTAACGAGCGCAAGCCCCCGAGCAAATACGCACCCCATCCTTGGAGCTTCCGGCGGTCACCGACGCTCTCCACCTCCACCTCCTCCGTCCCCACCACAGGCTTGCCAGCACCGCGTGCAACCGCGACGAACCCAGCTGCACCCCCGGACGCGGCGGCGGCGGACGCGGCGGAGACCGCGCAGGATGAACTCTCAAGCGCACCGCAGGAGGCGGATTCGAGGTTGAAGTAGGTGCCGTCGGGGCAAGCGTCCATAGAGGCGAGCTGCTGGCGCCGACAGACCAAGTACGCGCTGCGTAGGGGAGAGGAGAGATATAGAGAGAGAAGGGAGATATGGGACGGGAAAGAAGGAAGCGAGGCAAAAAATGAAGTTATAGTCAGAGGCTTGTTTCTTCCAGCTCGTCTGCGACGCTGCGATGCTGCGATTCTGCGACGCTGCGACGACATGTTGAAACCAACGGTGCTTAGCAAACACAAGACACGTCGTAGATCATGTACGGCAGGCTTGTAACATTCTTCATCGTTTTCGTAAACGAAATTATGGAGAAAGAACTAAGACGTGAGATATGCTTGTACAGCGGTCCTTAAATACGACACCAAGAAGGACGCGTTACTACGGGGAAAGTTGAAGTCGAGGCAACCAGCTGCTCTACTGATAGACTACCAGGGGCGCACGGGCGCACGGGCACACTCCAGAGAACGGCAAACTCAGCTACCAACACGAACGGAGCGGTGAGCGTGCTAGCATACACGATAAGTGCAAAAGGTACGGGCACGTGGTGATACGGAAGAAACAACGCGCTGGTGCTACTTCATCGGGGCTATACCTGCATGGAGGGTCGGCGGCAGCGTCTGCGTAGACGCCGTCGGCCTTTCCGTGGCAGAAGTGGCAACGAGGAACGGTAAACTGCAAGATGGAGCATTGTAGAGAGAACAGAGAACAGGGAACATGGAATATATTTTAGAGGCCCTACTAGAAAGTCACCTGGATAACGAGGTTGTACGACTAATACGAACTTAACAAACGAGACGCAAGGAGGTCGACCTACGAAGTGGTTACTATTTGCAAGCCATCTAAACGATAAGCTTGAAATACCGCCGGGAAAGACGTATACGAACTCTACGGAAAATGACAGAAGGAGGCCGACCTTAAGCATGAGGGCAACTTACGCTCGGCCGGTGGCAGTGGTTCATAACAGAGGATGGTTTAGGAGTCGAACGGAGGCAGTTTACGCTCAACCGTGATTCTAGAAACAAACTTACGCTCGGACGATGACAGTAGTTGTTAGCAGAGGAAGGTTTAGGAGGCGACCGGAGACGCGAGGATGCTTTCATCCGCATCGCCTGCCTCTCTTTCAGCTTCGGAATCATGTGCCTCGGAACGCTCGGATGCCATCGGGAAAGCTCGAGGTCGTCGACTACGCCGCACGCGACGGCTACTAACAGGCAGCACACCGATAGTAACAACACGCTTTGGGGTCTTAGCCGACCCATGGGCCTAGTCGGGATAATCAGCACTGAGAAGTTCCTGTCTTGCGCACTGGTAAACGTAAACGCGAAACGATAATATCAGGCTAGCCTACGAACCCGCTAAAAGCTACGGGTAAATGTCTGTGGAGCTGCCTGTGACGATGTAATGCACTAACATGAGTGCGACCTGTTGTTGCTCAACCCTCCTGCGAGCACAGACAGCCAGCCCTTAAACAAGCTCACTCTTCGGATGCAGGCAGTTGGGGTGGGGGGATAGAACCGAGGGAGGATGACTGAATGGAGGGAGGGAAGAGAGGAAGAAAGACGACCAGGGGAAAAAAGGCAGGCAAGGAAACCAGGTGAGGAGCACGTTGGGCGTCGGGCAAGCGGTGGAGTCTTAGAAGAGGTTTCAGTTCTCGCGGAAGATTGCGCCATCGCCCGTATGTACTTCCGCTCGCGGTTTTTTGTCCGCCTGTTCCGTCGCCGACGCTGTACTGCACAGTTCTTCACTGGAACAGTGCGGCAGGGCTCTCCCTCAACAGCAGTTGCTGTTTTTGCTGCGTTGACGTGGCATGGAAAGGAATGGTCAGTATGAAAACCATCAAACTTGCCCATAATTTATCTACAGAACAGATCATTCATAAAAAATTTCCATTCGGGTGGAGGTTGTCTCACATCCGAACCGAACCAATTTTGGCCAGACATTTCTTCGAGAGGGAGAAGGTACTGTAGCACGCTTCAGAAAATTGAGGACTTCGGTTCGGCGGCACAGTGTCGGCAGGGGGACAGATTTTTTTCTCTTGGTCAGGTGATTTCTAGCAGGAGACTAGGCTCGGTCATGCGTCAGGGGGAATCGGAGGTAGGGTGGCGGAGGTTCAACCTGCGGAGCCCCCCTGACGCTCCGCCGTAACTTCCTCATCAGATCCAACTGCGCGCAAAACGCCAGAAAGGCCCACCGCTTCCGTTCCCCGCAAACCCGCCCTCCAAACCCCCTCTTCCCAGCCCCCCTTAGCCCTCCCACCAAGCCCCTTACACCAAACCATCTCCGGCTGAAACCGTCAAAAACGGCGGAAAGTTGTTGCGCTAGGTGGTGAGACCGTTACGAGCAAATCTCCCAACGATCTGTTACACGTCGTCGATAAGCCAACAGAGTCTTTGAATAACTATGTCAACGCTTTGTTGATTGTCATTCATTTCCAGCCTTACCTCAAGCCAGAAAATTGTCAAGGTCTCCGCATTTCAATTATTTCATATACAAAAAATTACCATATGAAATAAAAATATCCAATTCTTCAGCATCTTTCAATTCTACACCTGCTTTAGCTCGTCACCTGCTTTTCTTTAAACGCAGAACGATCAAAGTGCGTGTATTTGTGTTCTTAATTTTATCCCACAGTAAATTTGGCCTTTTTCGAATACAGTGTTATAATCAGTGTTGCATGTAGACTTCAATGTGATATAGAATCGGGTTCAGTCAGCGTTGGGCATAATAACCTGGAGCAAGAGCTGCTAATATGAAAGACAAAAACTGGCGCAAACATACATTCGTTCGCGCGGGATTGGTCAGAAATGTCCTTCTGTCCAAGTCCAACCCTAGGAGCAACAATCCAGGACATGCACTGCACACATGCACACCTTTCGCAGAGGCACCTCTTTCGCAAATTCACTACATGTGCACTGCTTTCTCTTGCCGCGAACTCCCTTTGTTCCACTTTCATTTTCTCGCGCGTGCTCATTGGCCACCGTCGCCCTCTCGCACACCATCGCACACTCTTTCGCACACTCTGGCTCAAGCGTTCGCTGCTGAATGCCGAAATGCCAATCAACGCGCATCCTCCTGACCCATTCACTGACATGTCCACATTCCACGCCAGATGTCAGCCATCAGATGTCAACGGACAGTATGGTTTGGGCCGAGTGTTTTAGTGTGTTTTAGGGGAGTATTTTGGATTTCAGAGCGATCTACTTTCTGTTTTGAACGGTTAGATAGGGTTTGAGCAAATATGAGCTGTTCCAACTCGAAGGCCACTCTTGTGTGACATGAGCATCTTTTGCTCCTGCTCTTGGTATTAGCGAGGCCCTGCCGAAGTACTAGCGGGCTGTGTTGAATTTAGTAAGGTCGCGGAGTTGGCGTCGTCTAGGCTCGCTAACTACTCTAGCAGTCTGGTTTTCAGCTCACCGTTCTTCCCGTCCGCTTTCCAGGTCCACGTACGTTAGGATTTCTCTTAGTTCGCCATGGCGTTTCCTCGCGGACCGCTCGCCGCGGTGATTCTCGCGAGCTTTCTGGTAACTGCTGTCGCGCGAATCAGTCACTACGACAGCCTGTTGGGCATGCCGGGGGAAGAGGGACGAGACGCGTTCCGGCACTTTCTGAACCGAGGCGAAAAGACGAAGGACAGCGAGCCGCAACAGGAGGGGACTCGATGGGCACTTCTTATCGCCGGCTCCGCTGGTTACGGAAATTACCGCCACCAGGTGGGAGAAGATAACAAGTTTATGAAATTCTTGTTGTTTTTAGCATGTTGAATCTGCTCGTGTTGCTGCTCAAACTGCTGTTTACTTGAGAAAGTGTTTCGTCGCTTCTCGGGAAGAATGACTTCTGGAGGTAGTTGATTTTGGTGCTTAAGCTCTCGTTTTTCGATCCGAAAAGCGACGTGTATCATCCGTATCAGATGCTGCCTATGGACTTACGAAGGAGCGTATCCTCGGTTCATATTGTCGTCTAGATTCCTTGCTTCTGGGCTGTGCAGGCCGACGAGTGTCATGTGTATCAGGTGGTTTTTTTTTTTTTTTTTTTTTTTTTTTTTTTTTCCAGAAGTCTCAACCGGAGTGATTTCTCTCTTTTTTCATGTGAATCTCTTGCGAATTCGCAGGCGGACGTGTGTCACGCGTACCAGCTGCTGCGGCGGAACGGCGTGAGCGAGCAGCACATAGTGGTGATGATGGTGGACGACATCGCCCATAACGAGGATAACCCGCACCCCGGCACCATCATCAACCGCCCTGATGGGCCCGACGTCTACCACGGCGTTCCCAAGGTACATCGTGCACACGGTATTCCCAAGGTGGCGCTGAGGAGCGCATAGTGGTGATGATGGTGGACGGCATCGCTCGTAGCGAGGATAACCCGCATCCCGGCACCATCATCAACCGACTTGATGGGCCCGACGTCTACCACGGCATTCCCAAGGTGCGCCTTACTTGGCGTTCCCAAGGGGCGCCTTGCTCGGCATTCCCAGGGTGCATGTGTGTTGTCGTGCTTGTATGGTGCATGGCGTGAGAGGGGAGCACATGATGGTGTTCATGGTGGACGATTTTTGCCATAGAGCATTCTCAAGGCGCGGCTTGCGCGGTATTCCCAGGGTGCGTGCGGAACGGCGTGAGCGAGGAGTGCATAGTGGTGATGATGGTGGACTTCATCGCGCATACCACGGTGCTCACGGTGTTTATAGCGACAACAACCCGCACCCTGGCGCCATCATCAACCACCCTGATGGGCCCCACGTCTTGCTCGGCGTTCCCAAGGTGCGTCTTGCTCGGCGTTCAGTTCCGAAGGTTGCTCATTGTTTTCAAGGTGCGTTTCTGATGGTAATCCCAAGGTGCGGGTGGAGCGGCGTGAGTGCGGAGCTCGTAGTGGTGGTGATGATGGCGGATGACATGGCATTGAGGCACCTCAAAGGGGCGCTCAAGGCACCTCTAAGGCGCGCTCAAGGCACCTCTAAGGCGCGCTCAAGGCACATGACTACACGAGTCGCCACGTGGCCGTAAGCATCTTCATCACAGCGCTGCTGGGCAACACGTCTGCCATCAACGGCAGCAAGGGGAAAGCAACGAGGGCGTCTCATCTCGCCCTCCCCTCCCCCCGCCCTGCCCCTCTTTCACTTCCTCCCCTCTCTCTCCCTCTCAGGACTACGCCGGACGTCACGTGACAGTGGGCAACTTCATAGCAGCACTGCTGGGCAACGCGTCTGCCATCAACCCCCTCCTGTTCCTCCTCCCCCGTTCTTTCTCTCCCCCCCCCCCCCCCCCCCTGCCCCCCTTTCCCCTCCCTCTCAGGACTACACCGGACGCCACGTGACTGTGGGCAACTTCATAGCGGCGCTGCTGGGCAACACGTCTGCCATCAATGGCGGCAGCGGCAAGGTCATCGCCAGCGGCCCCAACGACCATGTGTTTGTGTACTACACCGACCACGGCGGGCCAGGCATTCTAGGTGGGTAGGTGGGTGGGTGGGAGTGGTAGGTTCAGGGTGGCAAGGTCATCGCCAGCGGGCCCAGCGACCAAGTCCTCTACTACACCGACGTTGACGGGCCGGGCATCCCTGGTGGGTCTGGCATTCTGGGTGCGTATGGATGGATGTAGATGCAATTGGTATACGGTCATCGCCAGCAGGCCCAACGACCCCCAACGACCATCTCTTTCTGTGCTACACCAAACGAACACGTCGGGCCGGGCATTCTGGGTGCGAATGGTATTTGCTGGAAAGGTTATCTATTATGGAAAAGGGTGGATCTTGCCTTTGTGTGAATGGTATCTTATACTCATCAACCATGCCTTTGTGTGCCACTCCAACCGCGAAGGGGCTGGGCATTCTCGGTGGGTGCGCTGCCAAGGGCTTCGTTCAGTGTTCTTCTTCCTTACCCTGTCCCTGGCCCTCACTTCCTCACTCCTATCTTATTGCAGGCATGCCCGAGCCAACGTTCCTCATGGCAGATGAGCGCGCTGGAGGGGAAGCATGGCATCAAGGGCTTCTTCCTTGCCTTTTCCCCGACCCGCACTTCCTCACTCCTACCCTATTGCAGGCATGCCCGAGCCACCCTTCCTCATGGCGGATGAGGTGGTGGGCGCACTGGAGAGGAAACACGCTGCCAAGGGCTTTAAGGAGCTGGTGGGTGGGTGTGCTGTATGAAGAATGATAATTTGTGCAGATAATGGACGAAACAAAGGGCACCATCAAGCAGAAGCATGTGAGCATGAAATAGAAGGAGGAGTTCGTGGATGGGGGGTTGGGGATGAGTAGGGGTGGAAGAGGTAATAAGGTTGGGGATGAGTAGGGGTGGAAGAGGTTATAAGGTTGGGGATGCGTAGGGGTGGAAGAGGTTATAAGGTTGGGGATGAGTAGGGGTGGAAGAGGTAATAAGGTTGGGGATGGGTAGGGGTGGAAGAGGTACTAAGGTTGGGGATGAGTAGGAGTGGAAGAGGTAGTAAGGTTGGGGATGAATGGAGCAAGGTAATGAGACAAGGGGATAGAGAATGACTGCGGCAGGGGACCCCTGGCAGCTTGTGAGGGATAATTCTTTCATATCTACAGTGTACATTACTGCTTATAATACGTTATGTTGACTTGCACCTTCAATTTCTCCCGTCCCCTTTAGCTTGCTCCGTCCCCGCTGCCTTCCTGAATCCATCCCCCCCACTTCCTGCTTCCATCCCCCCCACTTCCTGCATCCATCCCCCCCACTTCCTGCTTCCATCCGTTTGCTTCCATCTCTTGCCTTCTATCTCACACCCCCCGCACTTCCTTTTGAGTCGACTCAAAAGCACTTCCTGCCTCCTTTTGCGTCCTTCTCTTGCCTTCAATCTCACATCCTTCGTACATTGCAAGCTTGTCTCTTGACTTCCTGCTTCCTCCCAACATCCACATCTACGCCACCACAGCCACCCCTTGAAGCGCCTGAGATCGCCCCTTGATCGCCCCTCACCACAGGTGTTCTACCTCGAGGCATGTGAGTCCGGCAGCATATTCCAGGGCCTGCTGCCCCACAGCATCCACATCTACGCCACCACAGCCACTCAAGCATTAATAGGTCCCGTTCCACCCCCCCACCCTTTCCCCCCCCCCCCCTCCCTCCTTCCTCATTGATTTCCACAGGTGTTCTACCTCGAAGCATGTGAGTCCGGCAGCATATTTCAGGGCCTGCTGCCGCCCAGCATCCGCATCTACGCCACCACAGCCGCCAAAGCAGAGGAGAGCAGCAGACATTGCCTCATGCTGCCTCGTGTTGCCGTGTGTTGCACTCAGGGTCAGGGGCTATGTCCTCTTCTCTCCCTGTGTTCCCTTCCCTTGCTGCACCAGGTGTTCTACCTCGAAGCCTGTGAGTCCGGCAGCATATTCCAGGGCCTGCTGCCGCCCAACATCCACATCTACGCCACCACAGCCGCCAACGCGGAGGAGAGCAGCTGGGGCACGTATTGCCCAGGCATGAACCCCCCACCGCCCATTGAGTACGAGACGTGCCTTGGGGACCTCTACAGCGTGGCCTGGATGGAGGACAGGTGAGGTTGATTTGCTTGACCTGTGTGGTGAGGTGAGGTGAGGTGAGGTGCCGCGTGCTGCGTGCCGCGTGCTGTGTGCTGCATTTGGGTGCTGCGTGCTGCGTTGGTGTGCCGCGTGCTGCGTGCTGTGCTTGTGTGCCGCGTGCTGCGTGCGGCGTGCCGCGTGCCGCTTGCTGTGTGCTGTGTGCCGCTTGCTGCGTGCCGCGTGCCGCGTGCCGCGTGCTGCGTGCTGTGTGCTGCGTGCTGCGTGCTGCGTGCTGCGTGCTGCGTGCTGCGTGCTGTGTGCTGCGTGCTGTGTGCTGTGTGCTGCGTGCTGTGTGCTGTGTGCTGACTCGATTTGGTGATTGAGTCGCCTCAAGGCGAGCAGAGGAGAGCAGCTGGGGCACGTGCTGCCCGGCATGAATCCCCCGCCGCCCATCGAGTACGAGACGTGCCTGGGGGACCTCTACAGTGTGGCCTGGATGGAGGACAGACAGGTGAGCGCTGTTCCGCCTCATGACCCACCCATTACTCCCCATCAAATACGAGACGTGCTTCGGAGGTGGGCACGTCTGTGCAATGAGCGCTGTTCTTCTGTAGTTAGTAAGCCGGAGTTAAGGCGAAGGTGAGGTGAAATGTGCGGGCTGAGGAGGAGGGCGGCGGCCTATCACGCGTCAATTGTGGCATTTCTGATGACTCAGCCCAACTTGGCCCTGTCTCACTACTGCTCGGTGAGACTGTTTTTCAGTCGACTCAAAACCAGAATCGTTTTAATCGGGCCTACTTGGCCCTGACTCGCCACGGCTACAGTAGCAGTGCTACTTCGTGACACTTAAAGAAAGAACATTGGTCATGATATGAGGTATTTTTTGTTTCAGAGTGGCAGCTAGTAGCAGTGGGAGCATCTTTTCCTCTGTCGCCTACCTTCCCCCCCCCTCACCCAGGCTATCTCACGCCCGCACTCTCGTTCTTCCTGCTCCCTTTCTCGCCCTTTCCACCCGTTTCCACTTGCCAGTGAGGTCCACGACCTCATGCATGAGGCTCTTCGCCAGCAGTACCGCCTGGTACGTTGCCATGGCTGCCATGGTCTGGCACTGGAGGTCAACTGTCCCATCTCTCTGCTCATCTCTGATCCTCCCCTCCCCTCCCCTCCACCCTCCCCTCCACCCTCCCCTCCGCCCTCCCCTCCGCCCTCCCCTCCGCCCTTCCCCACCTGCCAGTGACGTCAACGACCTCACGCATGAGACGCTTCGCCAGCAGTACCGCCTGGTACGTTGGCATGGCTATCCATAGCCCTTCTCCCCACCCCCTCCCCCACCCTGCTCTGTGTTTCTCCCCTCTTTCCTGCTGGTTGTTCTCCCCGCTGTGTGTGTGACCCAACCCAGTGATGTGAATGACCTCACTCAAGAGACGCTTTATGAGCAGTACCTCTTGGTAGGTTGTGCTGCACACCTCTGGCTCACACATGCAGTTCTCCATACACTCACCCACACACACACACTCATACACTCACACGCACAAACACCTCCTCCGTCTGAGGCGCCTCAGAAATTGACTGTGTAGGTGACCTCACACAGTGATGCCAGTGACCTCACTCCAGAGACGCTTTATGAGCAGTACCTCCTGGTAGGTTGTGCTTCACGCCTCTGCTTTACACATGCATACCGCACACACGCCACATGCATAGCACGTGCACGCCACATGCACACCACGCGCACACCACATTCATAGCACACGCACACCACATGCATAGCACGTGTGCACCACATGGATAGCACGCGCACACCACATGCATAGCACGTGTGCACCACATGCATAGCACGTGCACACCGCGCACCAGTCGGGAAATGGTTTGGTTCTGAGATGACTCAGAAGTAAACTGTTATTCGTCATTTGCCATCGATTTCAGAGTGCTTGCATAAGATTTTAGGCCTTGTTCGCATGGATCGGGCGAGATTGTTGGTGTATGGGCGTTATTGGTGAGGCCTTATGATCACGACATCAAGGCGTTGATCATGGCGTCAAGTCCTTGATCATGGCATCGAGGCCTTGATCATGGCATCGAGGCCTTGGTCATGGCATCGAGGCCTTGATCAGTGACATTCTTTACATCAGTCAGAGATTGTCGTTTCGCCCCTTCCCGTTGATCCCTTCCCTTCCACCCTTTCCGTTCTACCCTCTCCCCTCCGGATAGTTAAAGAACCGCACCTCCAACCAGGGCATGTACGAAACCGGCTCACACGTGATGCTCTTCGGGTAGAAGGCTCTCGGCAGTGACCCCGTTGCTGACTTCCTAGGCAACTCTTCCCTGGTCCCTATCCCCTCCTTCCTTCCCTCCTGTCCCACCCATCAGGTGAAGGACCGTACGTCCAACCACGGCATGTACAACGCCGGCACTCACGTGATGCTCTTTGGGGAGAAGGCTCTCGGCTCTGACCCTGTCGCTGACTTCCTGGGTGACGCTTCCCTGGCCCCTCTCCCCTCCCTCCTTTGATCACCCATCAGGTGAAGGAACCGCACGTCCAACCACGGCACGTACGACGCCGGCTCTCACGTGGTGCTTTTTGGAGAGAAGGCTCTTGGCTCTGACCCCGTTGCTGACTTCCCTCCACTTTCCCACCCCTCTTGTCCCACCAGGTCAAGGACCGTACGTCGAACCACGGCACGTACGACGCCGGCTCTCACGTCATGCTCTTCGGGGAGAAGGCCCTTGGCAGCGACCCTGTGGCTGATTTCCTGGGGGACGCTTCGCTGGCTCCTGAAGCCGATGCTAATAGCGGGGATGCTAATAACGGAGATGGTACTGGCATGACTCCTTGGATTCCGTTCAGCATCTCCGTGCTGCTAGGCACTGGCAAAGGGCGGAAGACTGGGCTGTTGTCGGCGGGGCAGAGGTTGTTTGCTGCTGGGGAGAAGGTTGGGGTGGTGGGGCAGAGGGACGCTGAGGTGCTGCACCTGTGGCACAAAGTGAGACTATCTCCCTTTCCGCCCCACTCCCTCACAATCCCCACCCCTTTTTCCACCAGCTTCCAGTCAGTTCTCTCCTCCCCCTTCTCCGCTTTCAGTCTGGGGCTTTTCCCCGCTCTTTGTGTATTTGCGTTTAATTAATTGTTTTTGTTATTCATCTGGTCCTTTTGTTTGGACTCGTTTCACGGCCTCTCTGCATCTCTCCCGCCTCGCACCAACCCATCAGTACAAGAACGCCCCAGAGGACTCGCCTCGCAAGCAAGCGGCCCTGTCAGCCCTCAACCAGGCGTTTTCCCACCGCCGCCACGTGGACCAATCGGTGCGCGCCATGGTGGCAGCAGCAGTGGGCGAGGGGCGTGCGGATGCCATGCTGAAGGGCAAGCAGGCGGAGGGAAAAGCGCTGGTGGACGACTGGGTTTGCCTGCGAGAGATGGTGAGCTGAGACAACTTGAGAGGGGTGGGGGTGGGGGGACATCCCTGCATCAAGGGGTATGTGGACATCTGGGCGTAGCTGGGCATACCACATGCAAGCAGTCAGTCATGCCGGTGTGGGATAGATAGAGATGGAGGGAGAAACGCTGGTGTGCAACTGACTGGACTGACTGGGCTGACTGGGCTGACTGGGCTGACTGGGCTGACCGGACTGACTGGACATGCCGTCTCTATCTATCCTCCGTCCTCAGCCTTCTTACCTCTCTTTCCAACCCTTCCCTCCCCCCAGGTGCGAGCCCACGAGGCCAGCTGTGGGTGCATTACTCAGTTCGGCATGAAGCACATGCAATAGCCCGCCGCAACCTAACACTTTCTCACTTCCCCATCTTTCACTCCTCTTCCCTCTCCCCCAGGTGCGAGCCTACGAGGCCAGCTGTGGGCGCATTACTCAGTACGGCATGAAGCACATGCGCGCCTTCGCCAACCTGTGCAATGCTGCAGTGCCTGTCGGTGCCGTGGCAACGGCAGCTCAGGAAGTGTGTCCTGCTGCTGCCAATGCTGTTCCCCTGGGACTGCTCATTGCGGCAGGAGGGCGCTTTTCTGTCTAGCTGGTTCGCTTGTCTCTGCAATGCCACTGTGCCTGCCGGCGCCGTGGCTGCTGCAGTGCAGGAAGTGTTTCTCTGCTGCTGCCAATGCTGTTCCCTCAGGGCTGCTCATTTGAGCAGGGGGGGGCTTCTGGACCCAGCATGGTCAGCAGTCCTTGGTAGATCTCCGCTATGTTGCAGTGTGTGCACTCCATTACCGAGCCTTGCAAGGATGCTTTGCATATACTCCTTTCCACCTCGGTTCTCACTGGTACAAGGTGGCTCCCTGTTGAGCGCCGTTGTGGGTTTTCACTGTTTTTGATCTGGTTGTAAAGAGTGGGGTCACACATTTTTAACCGTGTGTAGCATTTTTAGCTGAAGGGTGCACCTGTCATTCTCAGAACTCTCACCTGTCATTCTCAGAACTCATTACTTCTGTGTGGAGTGCTGTGCACAGGAAAGCCAGATTATAAGTAGAGGAAAGGTAGGTATTTTAGTAGAATTGGTGCTCAGAAAAGTAGTGAAGACCATAGTTTCATGCTCAGAAACTCGGATGTATTGAGTACAGCTACCGTACTACACGCCTCGTTTCACAACTCGTATCGGACCGTATCATGTGACCTGACACAATCGTCGCCTAGTCCTTCCCGCCAAGATTTTGGCTCCTTGAAAGATCGCAGCCGCCCGTCTCAAATTCCTGCCATCGGCATGGCAGCGGTGCCTGATCTCCACAGGAACTCCTGCCAGCAGTGGGTTGAGTGGTGGATGGAAGGTTCTGTACCGTTTAGAAGCCATGATAAACGCACTGTACCGTTCAGTGACAACTTGGGAGGTGACGACAGCATGATTCGCTGATCAGGAGCGCTTTTCAGCATCCTTATCGGTATTAGTCACCTAATCTAGGCCGGCGCGTTCAAGCCCGCTTAGAGTAGTTCATCAGGCAGCAAGAGGGACGTCGACGGTGTGATACTGCCACAAGCAGACAGGAGCGATGGCTTGGCCGATCTACCTCTATCTCCCGAACATCGTCGGTCAGTGGCTAGACCACCGTCTGGGGTCGCAGTTGATGCATATCCCCAAGCGTTTTTTCAGGGATTATGAAATTTATACGTTAATTTGATTTCGGAGCTTGCGGGATGTTCAGAGATCTTACGGCCAAACGCCAAGTCCCTATTAGTTAGCCTGCTGTGTCGATTGTCAGCGCCAGTTGATACTCGGATGATATTGACGTGTCGACATTTACAAACACGCCATTAGGGGTTGCGACTGACGTTGTCTTCGTCGATAGTGCTGATCGCTTGGTCATCGTTTTCGCGACAGCTGATCGCATTGATGTCGTGTTCGCGAATTCTGTTCGCAGGGTACTTTCGCATCCTGGCGAACGTGTGGGCCTTCGCCATCGCTCTGTCCAATCCCCGTCTTTTCGTCGCTCTCTACTTCTTCAGGTAAGCACCCTTCTTCTTCAAGGTAAGCCTCCCCTCTTCTGTTTACCTTATCTTTAAACCCCTCTCTTCTTCTTCAGTTACACCTCACTTCTCCGTTACCACTACAGCATCCGTCTGCCAAGCCTCCTCGTTCCGTCTCTCTACATTTTCTGCTCCTGATAACCCTCCGTCATACTTTCGGAGGTTGAGAGTATCAGGTGGTTTTCAGGTGTGGTGCGTGTAATGTATGAAATGGCTTTTGAGCTGACTCAAAAGTCACCAGGTGGTTTTCAGGTGTGGTACGTACGTGTAATGTATGAAATGCCCGATTCACCTGTGCATGCGTTTTTTTCCTATGCACCCTTCTGATACTTCCCTTACCCCCTGTGTCTGTCGGCCATTCCCCTTTTCCCCCACTCTTTTGAAGCTTCTTTTGTGACTACGTGGACGGGCGTTTCGCCACATGGTTCAATCAGAGTGAGCTGTTTTCATTTGTCGATCGCACTCCATCAATGCAACGCTTCCGTCTCTTTTCATGCGTTGGGAGCAATGCAAGCAATCTCATACCGTAAACCCTATCCCTTCTGTTTTATCCCTGTCACCCTGCAGTGCACCGCTCTGCACCACACTTCACCACACTGCACCACCTTGCCACCATGTCACCATGACCATCAAACAACCTTGCCATCACACCATGACTCAACATCGTGCCACCTTCTCATCACACATCACCACACACACACTCTCCACTGTGCATGTTGCATCACCTTTCAGAGTCCACATTCGGCGCAGTCTTGGATATGGTCACTGACAGGTGCGTGCCAGCTGCCCCAGTTACAGCATAATAAGTCTGCTTGTATGGAGGTTTTCTAGGTCGGGCACCTTCCTTCCTGCCTCCCTACTGATTCACCTGTCCTTGATGTTACTTCATCTGTGGCACCCGGCTGTGCTCCATCCTTCTTGCACCGCGTGTTTCTTGGGATGTTTTTGTAGGATTCTCAAAAAACACCTACGACACTTCCTGCCTCCCCACTGATTCACCTGTCCTTGACGTTCTTTCCTCTATGGTACCCAGTGGCGCTCTCTCATTCCTGCACCTCGTCACTCAAGGTGCCCCCTATCCTGTCCTCCCCTCTCGCTCCTTGTCAGAATGAGCACCTCCTGCTTGCTTGCTCCTCGTCATTCAAGGTGTCCCTGTCCTCTCCCTCTCTCCGTGCCTCGTCTCCCCCCCCCCCCCCCCTTCTTCTTCCCCTCTCGCTCCTTGTCAGAATGAGCACCACCTGCTTGCTCCTCGTGCTGTCACACCTCTACCCGTGAGTCACCACAAGGTCCAATCTGCACCGCTCTGCACCGTTTTGCAGCACCTGCATCACGGGCATCAGAAACCCATCTCCGTGCATCAAGCCCATTGAACGTCAACCGCCTCTGCGTGCTCTCCATCTCCCCATGTCGTTGACCCTCGTGAGCTGTCCCCCTCTCCCTCTGCTCTCTTCCCGCTCGACGACCGTCAGTTCTTCCATCACCCACCCTCCGCCCTCTCTCTCTTTTTGAGGCGCCTCAATAACAGACTCCTCGTGGGCTCGACTTGATTCAGGCGCCTTCAGGCTCCTCGTATTCGCGCGCCTTTTTGTCCCCCTCTCCATCTTCTCCATGCTTGACTACATTCCGTTCTTTCATTACCCACCGACTCTCCTCTCCCTCCATTCTGGCCTCTCAGCCCTCTGGCTGGCACACCCGTGTTTCTTCCCACCCTTCTCCGCTCCTCTCCTCTTCCCAACTTCGTGTGTAATGAGTCGATTTTTGAGTCAACTAAAAAATCGACTCTTCTCTCCCTCCGTTCTGGCCTCTCAGCCCTCTGGCTGGCACACCCGTGTTTCTTCCCACCCTGCTCCGCTCCGCTCCTCTCCTCTCCTCTTCCCAAATTCTTCCTTCGGGTCTCGTTTCCCTTGTCTCTTATCACGAACCCACCACCGCCTCGCAGGCCTCTCATGTGTGCGTGCATGGCGCTGTTGGTGCTCGACCTCACAAGCCACTGGCTCCTCCCTCACTCTCCCCCCCGAACTACTTCTCCTCACCATGCTCCCTCGCAGGTCCCTCATGGGTGCATGCACGGCGCCGTTGGTGCTGGACCTCACCAGCCACTGGCTCCTCCCTCACTCTCCCCCCTCAACTACGTCTCCTCACCATGCTCCCTCGCAGGTCCTTCATGGGTGCATGCATGGCGCTGCTGGTGCTGGACCTCACCAGCCACTGTATTCCCTCTCTTTTCTCTCTTCTCTCCCCCTCTGCCGCTATTAATGTCTTCCCTCTCCCTTTCACCCACTCGCAGCTCTCTCGTGGGTGCATCCATGGCACTGTTGGTGCTCGACCTCATCAGCCACTGGCTTCTCCCTCTCTCTCGTCTCACCACTTCCCTCTCATCCATTGCCCGCCTTCCTCCATGCACCATGCTCCCTCGCAGCTCCCTCATGGGTGCATGCATGGCGCTGTTGGTGCTGGACCTCACCAGCCACTGGTACCAGATGTACAGGTAGACACACATATGCCGCGCATGTGTAAGGGTGCATATCAGCGCATATGGGTGCATGTGGGGTGCATGTGGGTGCATGCATGGCGCTGCTGGTGCTGGACCTCACAAGCCACTATGTACAGGTACTGCACATGTATATGGGTGCATGTGGGTGCATGTGGGTGCAGATGGGTGCATGTGGGGGCATGTGGGTGCAGATGGGCGCATGTGGGTGCATGTGGGTGCAGATGGGTGGATGTGGGTGCATGTGGGTGCAGCTGGGTGCATGTGGGTGCAGATGGGTGCAGATGGGTGCATGTGGGTGCATGTGGGTGGATGTGCGTGCATGTGGGTGCATGTGGGTGCATGTGGATGCATGTGGGTGCATGTGGGTGCATGTGGGTGCATATGGGTGCATGTGGGTGCATGTGGGTGGATGTGGGTGCATGTGGGTGCATGTGGGTGCATGTGGGTGCATGTGGGTGCATGTGGGTGCATGTGGGTGCATGTGGGTGCATGTGGGTGCATATGGGTGCATGTGGGTGCATCTGCACTGGGTGAGGGTGTGCCACGTCTCCTCTCCCCACCTTACTGCGCTTCTCACCTGTCATCCCTGCCCCTGCCAGCTCGTTCCTCGTGCGCAAGGCCAGCCACAAGGACGTGGCAGCAACAGACTTCTGGCTCATGCGGTGGTACTATGGCAGCCGCCCCTTCATGGCCTACTGCTGCATTGGGGCAGAGGTGAGCGAGGGTTTGTTAAGCTCCCTTTGTGGCTCGTACCACGACTCATGTGGTGGTGCTATGGCAGCCACCCTCTCACGGCGCACTGCTGCATCGGGGCGAAGGTGAAGTGGTGCTCATTAGGTGAAGTACCGCAGTCATCAAGGCAGGGAAGGGTTGTGGATGCGTGTTTCGATTTGCCTCACAACCCACGTTTCATATGCTATGGAAGCTGCCCCCTCGTAGCCTGGTGATGTGGCGCTGGGGTGAGTGAGCATATGGGGCTATGCCAGTCACTTGTGGCTCATGCCGTGCCGTGGCAGTATGGCAACCGGCCGTTCATGGCCTACGGCTGGCGTGGCTCAGAGGTGAGGCGTTCTGCATTGATTGCCCAGTAGCTGGATGACCATGCTTGTTTCCATCCAAGTGGTCCGTGTATAAGCGGTCCGTGTACAAGCGGTCCGTGTATAAGCGGTCCGTGTACAAGCGGTCCTCTCTCTTTCGGCCTCTGCTCATCTCCGTGTCTGCTCTCCACCCGCCTATGCACAAATACCCTTTGATCTATCTGATGCAGTCCTATCCCTTCAATGTTTTCCCACGCACCCGCTTCTTTTCCTCTCATGTGCCTCTGTGCCTTCTCTGTGCCTTCTCATGTGCCTCTGTGCCTTCTCTGTGCCTTCTCATGTGCCTCTGTGCCTTCTCTGTGCCTTCTCTGTGCCTTCTCTATGCCTTCTCATGTGCCTCTGTGCCTTCTCTGTGCCTTCCTTTTTCCTTGCCCCTCTTATATTTGTGTGCCACTCTTGTGCCTCTGTGCCTGCAGCTGCTGTACCTAGTGCTGTATCTGGACTCAGACCCGCTCAATCAACAAGTCCAAGTATGTGTCCAAGTCCAAGTGTGTGTCATTCGCTCGTGCCATTTCCTGGCTATGTCATATGCCATATGTCATGTGCCATGTGCCATACGTCATGTGCCATATGCCATATGTCATGTGTCATGTGCCATATGCTATATGTCATGTGCCATGTGCCATATGCCATATGTCATGTGCCATGTGCCGTATGACATATGTCATGTGCCATGTGCCACATGCCTTGTGCCACACCTAATGGTTTGTACCATGCCGTCAATGCCCGGCCCATATGCCTGCTCTCTCTTCGCTCCTCCATCTCATACCCTTCCTTATAACCTCGTATTACCACGTGAATCCCCCCCTCCTTCTCCATAGGTCTCTGTGCCTTACCTGGGCCCCACGGGTATAATCCGAGTCCTGGGCCTGCTGTGCCTCCCTGGATGGGCGCTCAAGCAGATCACCAACGTGGTGCAGGTGAGGCGGGGGAGGGGATGGGGGAGTGGCAGGGGGGAGATGGTGCAGGGATTGGGCTAAGGTGCCTGTGAAATGGTGGTTGTAATCCGAGTCCTGGGCCTGCTGTGCCTCCCTGGATGGGCGCTCAAGCAGATCACCGATGTTGTGCAGGTGAGGGGCGGTTGTCGAAGGTGAGGGAGAGGAAGGACGGGGTGGGGTGGGGTGGTGTGGAAGGTGGTGCTGAGGGTGGTCTAAGTTGCATGTGGAATGGTGGTACCATCAGAACCATCGGTCTGTCGTGTCTCTCCATGTGGGTACTCTAGTGGATTGCCATGCAGACATGTGAGAAGGTGAGGGGAAGGAAAGCAGGTGGGGGGTGGGGTGGAGTTTGGTGGGAAGAATGGCAGGGAGAGACCATCGTCTGTTGTCCTTGACAGTAATGGCTGTTTTCTGCACAAGTTGGACTTGATGCAACTAACAACATCGTCGGTGTCTCATGTGCCTATGTTTTTCCTTTCTGCCACTTGTCCCCCATCAGCTTAAAACAGCTGCAGATGCATGCGTGGAGTATGACATGGAAAAGGAGCGGAAAGCATCGTGATAATAAACAACAAATGACAGCTCCATGTGCACCATTGATCCAGACTAAGTATCCTTGCATGAGTATCACTCGTATATTTGAAGGGCGGCAAGGCCCCTTTTTTTTTTGTTTTTTTTCGGGGTTTTGCGAAATGTGTATTATTTGAGTAAGCCCCACTTCAAGTGCGTATGAAGAAAGAATGATACTATCATGAGCAAGAAATGCGTATTGAAAGGTGAAATCTAAATTCATATTGGTATGGCTGCAGGATCAGCTAATGTCCGCTACAGCGCTAGTTGCGCTCGAGTTGAAGTCAATAGAAAGCTGTTGAGTCACATGCTTTATACCGTCACGGTTGGACCACCAATCAAAACAAAGCCTCTCGATAACCGCACCACGCTCCGTGTTCGCGGTTCGAAATCTTGAAATTCTCATTTTCGCCTCATGGGAGAAATTCGCCCCCGTTAGACGCATTTTTCTACTCCTGCCGCTTTCTACCGTCCCATATCCCATCCCATCCCCCAGAGAGGATGCGAATGTATGTAGTGTGGCAGTGCAGATGTATGCGAGGCAACCCGCAGCGCTTCCTTGCTGCTGCTCGCGCGAGCAGACACCCAGCCCTGGGTTTGAGATAGCGAACCGCCCGTCTTTTCAAGGCCCAACAACAACTGCAGCCGCCCAACCCAGCCCTTGGTTTGTTGTGTTGTTGTGACTCAAGTAGTGCATCGCGTCGGGCGGGTCTTGTTCCATCCGAATAGCTCCACCCTTGCGCGCTCCTCCTCACCCTGAATTTGCGCTATGGTGGTGGTTGGGAAAGTGGTTGAAGCATCGTTGGGCGTCAAGGCAAACCCTATGGTAGGCAAGCCTGTCGGCCGACATGCTCCGCTCCGCTCCTCTCCTCTCCTCCCATCGGTCCGTCCCAGCCGGCCTTGCTCGTTAGTTAGTCCGGCAGCCGTTGCGATAAAGAAGCTCGTTTCTCTCTGAGACTATCAAAGGCTCACCTTCATTCCGCCTGGTACTCCGTTTGGAATCTTGAGGAGAACTGAGACGTATTTCGCGAGACAAAACTTCTTCCGCCGTTCTAATTCTCCATACGCTTCCAGCTAGTTGATAGAAATCGCATCGCTGTAACTACGAACGATAGTGCCAGTCACTACGAGTTTTCATTTACTTCCAAAGTGCCTTTCTGATAAAATTAGCGGATTGTTGTGGATTTCGACGAACGTCTAGCGGTACTCTCTCAAAAGAAATAGCAAAGGTTTTCCTTCCGTCTCTCGCGCTCTTATTTTCACCGAGGCTGACTCTGGAGTCGCATTTCACCTGAACACCTACAGCGGCAGAGGCACTTAACTCGACATGGGGAGGCATGATGCGGCTCGAGAATATGGCGGACGCGGCCAGCGGGTCCTAGCTGCTCTCGCCGTCTTGGCAGTGTCATTATTATCAGGTGCGCTTGTCAGTTTTCAAGAGATGTAACAGACGAACTACAACGTCTGCGTATCGAGTCGTTACCAGCATGTGCGTAACAATCCGCGTTGCCATCCTTCATACTATCGAATTCCGGCATAAATATATGTCGTAGCAGCGCCTTGGAATAGAAAAGGGCCTTTCCTAAATATATGTCGTATAACCCGTTTCTTCCAACGTCGCAGGCGTCGCAGCAGCAGCGCCAGGCGAAAGCAAGGGGCTTTATCTCGTTCATATGACCTCCGCGCCGCCGGTCGTCGCATACGGGGGTGGGATCGCGGGACTCTCGGCGACAGCGGCGGTGGCGGAGGATGACGCGCCTTCCCCCGGCCGCACCCCCCAGGGGAGCGCGGGGGGAATGGGGGGGCGCAAGGGGCGAAGTACGCGGCTGTTGCGCCCGCGCGCGGACGACCCGCACGTGCGCGCGTACGCGCAGCACCTGACGTCGATGCAGGAGCAGACGCTCACCTCCGTCGGTGTCGCGGCGAGCAGTATGGTGTACAGGTATGTGAAACGGTGTACAGGTGTGGGATACGGTGTAAAGGTATGGAACATAGAGTACAGAATCCCAACTCTCCTTCCCCGTCGATGCAGGAGCAGACGCTCACCTCCGTCGGTGTCGCGTCGAGCAGCATGTTGTACAGGTATGACGTGGCATGATGCAAGGTATGACGTGGCATGGTGCAAGGTATGACGTGGCATTGCAGCCCGCCTCGCCATGTCACTCGATCCGCTCCCTCTCCCCTTCCTTAGATCCGATTTCCCCTCTTCCTTCCCTCTCAATCTCCCCTCATCCTTTTTCTCCCCGGCTTCTCCCTTTCCCCCCATCCCCCCCCCGTCACTCCCCAGATACGCTTTCCACCAATCGCCATCTCATTCCGCGTCTCGTTTCCCCCTCTCCCTTTCCCCCTCTCCCTTTCCCCCTCTCCCTTTCCCCCTCTCCCTTTCCCCCTCTCCCTTTCCCCCTCTCCCTTTCCCCCTCTCCCTTTCCCCCTCTCCCTTTCCCCCTCTCCCTTTCCCCCTCTCCCTTTCCCCCTCTCCCTTTCCCCCTCTCCCTTTCCCCCTCTCCCTTTCCCCCTCTCCCTTTCCCCCTCTCCCTTTCCCCCTCTCCCTTTCCCCCTATCCCCCTTTCCCTCCGTCACTCCCCCAGCTACGGTTTTGCCGCCAACTCCTTCTGCGCGGAGCTTACCCGCTCTCAGGCGCAGCAGCTGCGCGCGCAGCCCGGGGTGGGGCGCGTGGCGCGCGGGCGCAAGGTGCGCGCATTCACGACGTACTCCCCGAAATTCCTCAAGCTCGGCGCCGCCAAGGGCGCGTGGGAGGCGAACGGGGGGAAGATGAACGCGGGGGAGGGCGTGGTGGTCGGAATAATTGACTCAGGAATCTGGCCTGAGCACCCGTCGTTCGCGAATCAGGTAAGGCGGGGAATGCGCTGGGGATTTCTGGGGCGGGTGGGAGGCGAACGGGGGGGAGATGAACGCGGGGGAGGGCGTGGTGGTTGGGATTATAGGTTCCGGGATCTGGCCTGAGCTCCCGTCGTTCGCGAATCAGGTAAGGCGGGGAATGCGCTGGGGCAAAAAGGGTGGGAAGGAAGTGAGTTGTGAGCAATGGCAAGGTGGTCGGCACGCCCCTGTATCCAAACCACAGGGCTATGGCCCCCCACCCAAGCACTGGAAGGGAGCATGCCCGGGATTGAAAAAATGCAACGGCAAGGTGGTCGGTGCGCGTTACTTCCTCTCGGCATACGATCGCGAGTATCGTCTCCCCCCTAACCCCCTGTCCCCTACCCTCTCTCCCCAAACCCCAGGGCTACGGGGCCCCGCCCAAGCACTGGAAGGGGGCATGCCCGGGATTGAAGAAATGCAACGGCAAGGTGGTCGGCGCGCGCTACTTCCTCTCGGCGTACGAGCGCGAGTACGGAAAGCTGGAGCGCGGCGAGTACCGATCTGCACGCGATGCTGGGGGGCACGGCACCTGGTGCGCTGGGTAAGTGGCACTCGGGGGAGGTGGCACACTGGGTGCGTGTGAGTGGCGCGGGATGCTGGGGGGCATGGCACCTGGTGCGCTGGTTAAGTGATGCGCAGCTAGGGACTCTCAGGGTCGGTATTACAAGGGGGAGGTGTTACCTGGGGTAGGCGGTTATCGGTGCTACGTACTTACTGTCGGCGTATGAACGCGAGTACGGAAAGCTGGCGCGCGGCGAGTACCGATAGGCGCGAGATGCGGGCGGCCACGGCACGTGGTGTGCAGGGTAGGTGGCGCGTTTGGGTTGTGCATGGTTCTGTGCGGTGGTGGTATGCGTGTGTACTGGGTTATGGGAAGACCAGGCCAGGGCATTATGTGATGGTACAGTGAGGGTGCTGACTGTTGCCATGCCATGCACCGCGTTAATCCAAAATACTGGTTTCCCCTCGCCCCTCTCTCACATCACCCATCATTCCCCTCACTACCTGATCTGTCAGAGCCGCAGCGGGCAACAGTCAGGTGGTGCTGACAGCGCAGGCAGCAGCACGGCAGCCCCACTTACCCCACGTCCTTGGCTTCCTTCCCCCTGCATTCCCCCCCCACCCCCGCCCCCACCACACACACACACACAGAGCTGCAGTCGGCAACAGCGGGGTGGTGCTGACAGAGCAGGACGGCACGCCCATCGGGTCGGCCAGTGGCATGGCGCCACGTGGCAGGGTGGCGGTGTACAAGGCGCTGTGGTACAACGCATCGGAGGGGTACGGCCACGACTGCGACATCTTTGCAGCCGTTGATCAGGCTGTGGCGGACGGCGTGGATGTGCTCTCCATGAGCATCGGATCGGGCGAAGACACCTACTTTGGGGATCTTCCCTTGCTGCGTGCTGCAGAGGTGATTGTTTGCCTAGCTTGGGTAGGCAGGGAAGATCCCCTTCCCCCCCCCCCCCCCCCCCCCCCCTTCCCCCTCCCCACTTATCCTCCCCCTTCCCCTGTTCCCCCCTCCCTCCCCCACTCCTCTCCCCACTTCCGCCTCCTCCCTATTCGCCCTCCACGTTCCCTTCCCTACACTGCACTCAACCCTCCCCCAACCCTCCCCCTCCCCATCCCGACCCACCCACCCAACCCTCTCCCCCCCATGGGACACCTCGCAGGCGGGCGTCTTTGTGACCCTAGCGGCGGGCAATGCGGGGCTACCAGGCATGGGCGGCACGTACCGCAGCATCAGCAACACGTCGCCCTTCTACCTCACCGTCGCCGCCAGCACCACGGACCACGACGCCGCGCTGCTGCTCCGAGCCCGCTCGGCCGCTACAACCGCCGCTACAGCCGCGGCTTACGGAGCAACAGATGGTTCTGAAAATAACTCATCCTACACAGCACGCGCCACGTCATCAGGATCCAATCGCGGATTAATCTCCCATAGCTATCGACCCTTCCAAGCTGTCTACGAAGCGCCTGTCATCGCGCCGTTCTCCTCCGCGGGACCTCCGCTGAACCCCTCCCGACCGCTTCCCGCCACGCTGCAAGTCACTAACGACATCCTTAAACCGGATGTTACTGCGCCAGGAGTGGACTTAGTAGCTGCTGCTCCTGGCGGCACGGCTCGAGACGCGTGGTACAACATGAAGAGCGGCACGTCAATGTCGACTCCCCACTTAGCGGGAATCGCGGCGTTGCTGATTCAGAAATACCCCAGCTGGCGACCCGCGGCTATAAAATCGGCGATCATGACGACGGCCTATCGCATGAACAATCGCGGAGGCGCCTTGCGAACGTTTATGGGGTCGCCGGCGACTCCGTGGTTTTTCGGATCTGGGCACGTGAACACTTCGGCGATGCTTGATCCTGGGCTGGTTTACGACGTCGGGCAGGGGGCTTACGCGAATTTTCTGGCGGGTGTGAACCTGCCCGCTGCGAAAAAGGCGTTTCCAACGAGACGGCTTTCGCCAATCAAGCCATGGGATCTGAACCAGCCCAACATCTGCGTTTCGCGGCTGACGAACACCGTCACAGTTACCCGGTCGGTCACCAGTGTTACAGGAAAGCCAAGGACGTATCAAGTGCAGGTGTCGAACCCTGCGAACGTGGACGTCCAGGTTACACCGTCGCAGTTCACGATATTGCCTAAACAAACGGTAACATTCAAGGTGAAGCTGACTCCTAAAAAGAGCACAAGACAGTTTTCATTTGGGCAACTAGTGTGGTCAGATGGGAGGCATAGAGTTAAATCTATCTTAGCAGTGCAACCCATGGCTGCATTGTGAGTAGTAGTTTTGCTAGATTCTGTCACCACCTCATCCTGTTTGATTGACTGCACCACCCTCACATTACAATATCAATTTTTGTGCCAATAAAATACTCAACCATAGTAACTCCACACCATCCTGTGGTTGTAAGAGCTTACAGCAGAAAGCAGAACATACTATCTGCTGTACAATCTTGCAACCACTCACAGCATCCACATCTTACACACACCCACCCAACCCCATCAGTGATGAGCCATCACCCCACCAACCAAGGCTTGGCAAAGCAGCTTCTATGATTCCATCCCAGGACATCCCCTCCATACGCCCCTCAAGATACTGAAACTCCTGATGCCCACCAATGTCCATACTAACACCCTCAGCCTCCCTTGTCACAGAATACATGCCCTCAACCTCCCTATCTGCATCCAACACCAGTCCCTCCCAGAGAGCCGACCACACTCAGCTGGTGGCCGTTGAAGTCAACATCACCCCAGATTACAACCTCCAACCCAGCAACCAGAATTTCCATCTACGCATCAACGGGCAGCTGCTGGCCGTTGAAGCAGAGAAGCAACAGTCGGTGGCGGTGACAGCGGAGATCTTGTAGTCCCCATAACTACCCATTGGCTCAGACCTGAAACCTTAGAAACAAGCTCCCCCCAACCATCCACACGCATCTCTCCCTAGTTATCAACGGGCAGCTGCTGGCCGTTGAAAGCAGAGAAGCGGCAGTCGGTGGCGGCGACGGCAGACGTCTCATAGTCGCCGACCTGGCCGTCCAGGAAGCCCCTGCCCTCCTCGCCATCGGCGGACACGGGGTGGTGCAGCAGCGCGGCGAGGCGAGAGAACTCCATGGTGCGCGACTCCCGGCCGCCGCGGTACGTCTGCCCCATCACGCCGTGCACGCTGCTGCTCGCACTCACGTCCATGAACATCAGGTTGATGTGCACCTGAGAGTCCTCAGGTGTCTGCAGCAGAGGGTGCGCGGGGCGCAGCTTCAGGTCCAGCTCCAGGAGCCCGTCGAGGCGCAGGTAGTAGTGGTCCACGTCGTACGGCCCAACCTTCTCCTCGGCAACGAACTGCAGCGACAGCTTGCCACCTGCCAGGCTGCGCGACTCACCGGGCGCCAGGCGGGGGATAGCGGCGCTGTCGAGCTCCACGGACGCCAGGAAGCCGGACTCCCCACGGAGCTGCTCGTTGCCGTCGCGCGCGGTGAGAACCAGGGAGTGGGTGACGGGCTTAGCGGCCACGGTGTTGTCGGAGTCGGCGGCGGCGCTGTTGTCGGTCCACATGACGGCGAGCTGGCGGATCCAGGTGCGCACGGCGGAGCCGTTGATGACGAGCGCGGCGTTCTGCGTGGAGCGCGAGTCGAGGTACCCGCGCATGCCCATGTTCACATGCACCTGCTTGTCCGTGTACAGGCAGAAGTTCTTCTCGGGCAGCCCGTTGAAGTCGAACCGCGTGCCGTGCGCGCCCAGGAAGTGCGGGTCGTTCTCGCTGTAAGGGCAGCGCTTTCCAATTCGGAGTTTGTGGCCGTTGGATTTCTCCTCGGTGGATCTGACGGGCTGGAGGATGTCGATCGCTGGGAGCAGAACGCAGGAGCCGTTGGATCTGCAAAGCAAAACAGGGGCACAGTGTGAGGGGGGGAAGAGAGATGCCAAGGTTAGGGGAAGGAACACAATTGACTCGACTCAAAAGAGGTGACTTCTGAGTCGGACTCAAAAGTCTCCTCGAGTACAATGGGAGGATGTTGACTGAGGCTTTCTGCTGCAAGCAGCATGACGGACCAAAGCAGTAGTTTCTCTCTGGGGATCGAGGATTAGGGAGATGTCAAGAGAGGGGAGCGGAGAAGAAAGGCCAGCTGCAACAGTTGGAAACCAAGGGAAAAGACTTTTTCAGCCTTGGCAGGAGAGTGGGGAGGGGTAGGGATGATGAAGGGCGTGCATAGAGTGCTACTCACGGGATGTGCGCCCAGAAGCGACAGTTGAACGGCTGGTCAGAGGCAGTGGTGTGGATGCTCTTGCACAGAGCGTACCACTTAGCACGGATTGATAAGACATGGAGTGGCATGGGTGTATGGTGGGTTGGATGGCACTCACGGGATGTGCGCCCAGAAGCGGCAGTTGAACGGCTGGTCAGAGGCAGTGGTGTGGATGCTCTTGCACAGAGCGCACCACTTAGCACGGATTGATAAGACATGGAGTGGCATGGGTGTATGGTGGGATGGATGGCACTCACGGGATGTGCGCCCAGAAGCGGCAGTTGAACGGCTGGTCAGAGGCAGTGGCATTGGTGCTCTTGCACAGAGCGCAGCAGTCCTTGGCGTCTAGAAGCTCCGTGTCGCTGCCCCCGACGCACCACGCCTTATCCCCCGCTACAGGCATGCTTCCTGCTGCTATGCTCGCGCACTCGCCGCACTCGGGGATTCGCCAGTAATCGAGCGACCCTGCGTTATCGTCACACTTGCCATGATCACACGCTGGGCCAGTGATTCCTCCCCCAGGAGAACCACCTGAAGAACCGCCGCCGCTGCTTCCGCCGCTGTTCCCGCCGCTACTGCCGCCTCGGTTGTCGCTGCAAGGTCGTCCGCCACCGCCGCGACCTCCGCCGATGCCAACGCCGAGGGAGACGCATCCGCTAGCTCCTATACCAATTCCGAATCCCTGGCCTGCTCGCCTGCCGGCGCTTGCCCTAATGCTTGCTGCTGCTTTTGCTGCTGCTGCTATTGCTGCTGGTGTTGCCGCTGCTGCTGCCGTTGCCAACGTGACCAGGAGAACGGAGAGCAGGAGGAGAACGACGCGAGCCATGATTGCCACGCTCCGCGTTAGTGTTCAACGTCAAGCGGGACAATCTCGAGGTCGAACTCCAGCAGATACCAGCAGATTCCAGCAGATTCCAGCAGATTCCAGCAGATTCCAGCAAACTGCTGCGATCGGTGCTGCTGCTTCAAGCGCTGTTAGGATCGACGGAGGAGAAGACGAGGAAATACTACCGTTGCAGCTCGGTGACAATAGTTGCAGCTCGGTGACAATCGTTGCAGCTCGGTGACAATCGTTGCAGCTCGGTTCGACTGATACGCGAAGCTGAGCTTCTTACTGAAGATCGAAGGATGACGATGAGTCCAAGCATGCCTGATACGGTATTTATACCGTGCCGAGAAGGCACGGTACGCTGCGTCGCCGACGAGCCGACGCGGGTCGGAGCAGGTAACCGTACGCTGTCCTAAGGCGCCGGCCCAACGAGATACGAGGCGACTCGAGCATCGTCTCTCGCCTCGCGGAATGATTACAGGCTGGGGTCAAGCTGTCCCTTAGCGACGCCCCACAGAGCCCATTACGGCTTCGCCAGACTGTGTAGGGATCAGCCATCTTCAAGTGACAACAGCGGCCGCGGCGGCGGCGGTCAATAAAGCAGATCGCAAGAAGCCCGAGTGCAACCGGAGAAAGTGGGGTCTAGTTTACAGTGGGAGGCTGGGGTCGACGTTGGTCAAAGGGACGGCGGAGAAACTTGGGGAAGCTCCGGTTTTACAAGACGACCTAGGGAGCTTCGACACAGGACCTAGGTTGGCTGGCTGGCGGGCTGCACATGCATAGGGCGGTCTGGCAGATTGGGGCCAGCCACTCGTGCGAGCGACGTCCCAGGACGTCAGCGACGGCTTTGTGTGGTTACCCCATGTAACAGTTACTGTAAACGCTCTATCAGTGTTCAGCCGAAAAGCAATGCCGGTGGACAGGAGTCGAAAAACAAAACCAAACATGCAGCGAAAGCACGAACCAGCTTACGAGAGAGGGAAATTCGCAAGTGGAGTGCCAGCACATCAAAATGCCAACTCCCGAGGTGTGGTCCAAAAACGAATGCAATGTGCAATTCGTCGCTTGTTTCGCACGTTACAACACTATTTTTAGGCAAACCTTTTTGGTCAACATTTCGG